ATAATTTTATATTTATATATACATTTAATATTATTTTATTTAATATTATTATAATTTTATTTTGATTTTATTTTATAATTTTTAAATGGTGAGAATAATATTGCTTTTCTGAGAATAATTTAAGAGTAAAATTACACCTTAACTCATGAAAATTGAGTCCCATTAACTACAATAATAAACGTTTAAACGGTGGGAGTAACATTGCTCTGATTTAATTAATTGAGGGGCGATATTGTTATAATAAATAGTTTAAAGATAATATTGTTCTTTCAAAAAATAATTTAAAAATAAAATTACATCTTAACTCTAAATTAAATTTAAAGATTGATTATTAGATTGCAGAGGATACAAAGCACCATATAAGCACAGCAATGCTAAAAGAAGACTCATGAAGAGTAAAAGCACTTGCAGTGATCGAGCTTGCCCCTAGCACCAGTGAGTTCATTTGGCCTCTCCTCCGGTGAGTTCATCGATTTGGTAGCCTTTCCTCATGTTCCTGTTCCGGTGAGTTCTCTCCCACGGTCCGATTTCGACCGCCATCTCCGCCCATGTTCTAAGACCCAGAGTTGCAGATCCATCATTGCACAGACACTGTTCACTTTCCTCTCGCCGGAATTTGCAGAATCGTCATCACCAGTCTTCGCCGGTCATCTTTTGGTTCGTTGGTCGTTACCGAAAGAGAAGAGTTAGAAGGAGGAACAAATAAAGTGGAGAGAGGAGACGAGTGGCAGATGTGGGGTAAAGACGTGAATTCCATGGAATCTCACCAATTCCATGGCTTTAAGGATTGAATTCAATTCAGGCTTTTCACCTTGAATCAGATTCTTGAGAATCATAATTATAGTCTACCAAACATGCTCTAAGCTAGAATCCATTTTCAATTTCGTTTTTATACTGAAAATTCTTATCCACCAAATGAGGCCTTAATGTCTATGCTTTAATTTCCAAAAGTTGGACCCATTTGGGAAGCTATCAATTTTGAATAACGACGACTTAATCCAATTGGTTGGAAGGACTGCGGGGGGAATTTTAATAAATTTGATTTAAAATAAATAGATAAGTGGAGTTAGAACATTAATTTTAATAAAGAAAGCAGCAAGATAAAAGAGTATGCAAAATGAATAAACCTACTTCTTCAATTTCCTACTTCTTCAATATTTTTTTTTTAAAATCAAACTTATTAAAATTTCCCCATCTTCTATCATCTCACCTCGTTTCCTTCCAACCACACACACTATTAAAGTTGTATTTTTATTGTATTAAAACCAGAATAACAATCTTTTTAGAGATTAATAATGCAATGAAGTAAACGAGTTAGAGTGCATAAACTTTGGATGTTTTTGTATGATGTCACTACTTCTACTTGAATGTAATCTTTTCAATTTAAAATATAAGAATTTTTTTAGTTAATACCAACTATTCCCCCCAACTATTTTAACGTAAATATTGTTTTAAGTTTTCTCCAAAAAAGTTATTTCTTATAATTATTAGTACAAGGTTTCAATTTCCTTACTATTTTATTTTTTCTCACTCTCATCATGTTTAAAAATAACAACGCAAGCATCTCTTTTTTAGAAGATTTTTTCCCCTTTAGGATCAACAGAACGAAAATTCATAATCGCAATAATATCTTCATCAGAAACCTAAAATTCCTAAGATACTTATTGTAGTCAAGCTTACTGTGTGAGATGTTTATCGAGTTCAAAAAGATTAAAAAAAATTTCTGATAAACCTAATGCACGTAATACTCCCCTAATCCCTATGTATAATGTGTTTTTAATTAAATTTTGCATATTAATTAAGATTTATTATTTAGTTAAAATGACATAAAATTATAATGATTTTTAATTTTTGCCCCTAATAATATTGCAATTAATATTATAATGGTGGTGAGAGAAACACACAATTAATGATCCATTTAATTTTTTAAGATAAAGATAAAATTATCTAATTACTTAAAAATATTGTTGACATCTCTTATATTTAGGATAAAATAAATGTTTAAAAATTATTTTATATATGGGAATAAAGGGAGTACGTCTTGAGCTCAGTAATCGAGATAATGTTTATTGACTTAAAAGAAAAAACTAAGAAAAATATAATTATAATTTTGAACGTATTTTCTTAACCTATCAGTGTTTACTATTTCTCTCGGTCCTTGATTCCCAAAAATGGGCCAACATTAAGGAAGCGATCAATTTAAAGTCCCGCCAGTCCACAAAGCCAACTGCTATGAATCTTCTGGATAATTTGGCCCCTGGGACTATCAATTTCCTTGCACTCACACTTGCAAACAATGATGTTTCCACATAGAACTAGGTATTTAACAATAGGAGAATTTTCAATTAAGGATTAAAAATGTGACTTAATTATTAATGAGTTCCAAAAAAAAATTTAAAACTTCAGTTGAGTCCAAGAAAGCTAAAGTGAAAATAATTTTAACAATAAAAAGATCAAAGTACCCTTTACTTGTTAATTTTGTTTGAGATACAGAATCATTAGCTATTAATTATCTTATTTCATTTATTAATTTATCAATATAAGTTATAAATTACATGACTTGACCTATCAGTAATCAATTATATAATACTTGAATATCAATTGTTCAATTAGTTTGTCAGATAAGCAATAACATTAGTTGTAAATTTACTAACTTTATTTATTAATTTATTAACATCAATTGTAAATTATTTTCACCATTAAAAATTTTTTCATTTCAATCCTCCAGGACTAAATTCAAGTTTTAGATTTTTTTTTGAAACCCTTTAACAATTAAGTCACATCCCCAGTCCTTAGTTGAAATTCTCCCTTTAAAAATAGTCATTGTCTTATTATAAAGGTATTTTAAAAGCATTCTTGTTCACTCATGACAAAAAAATATACTTTCTCCATCTCATAATTATAAGACTTTAATTAGATAAAATCTCATATACCAATAAATTTTATTAAATATACTTAATGAAACATTAATCTTTTCTAAGTGTCTTAGATTTTGGGATGTCAAATATTCCTTAAAAGTGTTTTATAATTTGAAATGAAAAGAGCTAATATCTCATTCTTAAATATACAAATCCTGTGTAAATAACTTGACAAAATCGAAGGAAGTGAGTTAAAAGCATGTTAACTAATTAAATTTGTCTAAAACTTACATTACTTTTCACTTTTATCCTCATTAAAGCAAGGTTGCACGTTTCCCATATCAATTAACTCTGATAATGATAAATTATAGATAGGGAAAAGCTATGCCGTAGACATTATTTAAAGGGACAATTATATTAAAGTCCCACACAAGAAAATTAATTATTGCAAGGTCTATTGACAACTGAACTAAACTGTATTGACAACATAACCAGTTGTCAATACAGTTTAGTTCAGTTGTCAATGGACCTTGCAGTAATTAATTCCCTTATGTAGGACTTAACTGTAATTCTCGCTTATCTAAATTGGACTTATATCAAGAAAAAAACTTTTTAAATAGGACTTATATTTTGGAATGAAGTAATGTCACAACCACCAATCCTGGTAGGCAAAGATTATAAAAAATATTGGAGAAAATATAATATTCAGATGGAAATTACTCATATGTCAACTATTGAAGTTAACAATCATAATAAAAGTTTTAACAACCGAAATTCATTGGAACCGAATGAATATAGTAGAAAGATCATATAGGAGAAGTGCAATCATAGGGAGGTAATTCATCAATATTCTTCTATGCCTTCACGAAGCACATTTTTCCTTTATATCCTAGGCCATTAATCCTCGTGCCGGCCCATTTGAATTTCTCCAAAGCCCATTAGTCAATTTCCGCCTCTATTCTTATTACCCTCTATAAAGCAATTTGCACCCATACCAATATTGGACCCAATTCTTAACAAGAGAGTATATATATTGTTGCACAGTTAAAAAAAAAAGGTGTGTTTTAAAAACATATAAATTAAATCAAAATTATATCCCTTCAGCCAATCAATTATATCTATTTGCATGATTTAAGATTGCATACTTAAGAGTTATCCACGTAATCCTTATCCTTTAAATTGCGGTTGAATTAGTTGGAGTTTGGATTTGAGTTAAATTCTCCATTTAGATATTTAAAAATATGTGCATTTGAATTTGATCCAAATCTATTTTTTATTATTTTTTTTATAATTTCAAATTTATATCATACTCTAATTATTTGAAATTTTAGTCACTCTTAGCATTTTTGTTTTCTTCACAATTTTACAGTTGGTGCTCTATCAATTTCGCTTTTTCTATTATCTTTCATTCTTGTCTCCTGCCATTTGTTAAATGGAAGTAAGTCGGTCATTCACAATCTTCTATTTTCGCTCAACACTTTTTTTTTTTTCTAGCGTACATTAATCTTAAATATAGCACTAGGTAGAGTTATACGTTATCTTTTCCTCATAACTAATATGTTCTGTATTCTTCTTTCCTTTTTAAGTCTTGCTTCTTTTGATTGTAGCAATACAAACTAACATTTTGATTCTGGTATTTTGGATGCCACTTGATATCTAACATGCCTATGGTTTTTAGTCTGTTCTTCCAAACGATAGGTGACTACTATATGTGCACTCTTAATTATTTCCTAGCTCATGGTTTCACACTCTAGAGCCATTTATTCCTTTGTTGAACATATATACTTGTTTGACATGTTTTGTCTGTTTAGCCGGAAACCATATTGTACAAGTTTAGTGTTATTTGTCAATCTTATAGGAGGTTCTCACTTTCGACTTAGTCTATCTTTCGACTTAGTTAATCTTATATCATTATTGCTAAAATATAATCATGGTCAACCTTCTCATTGAATGATGATGATGATGATGATGATAATGAACTCCAGTTAATTCTAGCTATTAACAAACCAATTGAGAAAGTCATGCGAAGATTGATTTGCTTACAAGTTTAGAGTTTTTATGATCTCATGATTTTTATGGAGAACAAGAAATGGAAATTCTCTATACATAAGCTGTAACTCATTAAGTTCACTTTTCCAAGTACTAACATTCGCACAGGACAGTTGAAGATGAAGCTAAAGAAAACATTGAATTTACTGTGGAAGGAAGGAAAGTTGGCACAGGCATCTTCTGTGGCAGAAATGGTAAAGGAGCTTTGAATTTAAGAACTTGAATCACTTGAGTGATAGAGGGTCTTGATGAGTGATCAGGATGCGCACACCAGATCCCAACAACCACCAAACGTTCCATTTGCTGCTCATCAAACACTGCACTTAGCTTTGGATCCGCAACATCAAGTAACCTTCCTGATCCATATAGCTCCCAAACCCACTCAATGATACTTTTTTGACTTTCATTTAAAATAAGGCCAATGGGTTTCTTCCCACTGGCTATCTCCAAAAGAACAACCCCAAAGCTGTACATATCAGATTCCTTACTTGCCTTTCCTGTAGTGAGACATTCAGGAGCTATGTAGCCCATGGTTCCTGCCATAAGTGTTATTTCTGATCCTTTATCATGATCTACCATCCTGGCTAAGCCAAAATCACCTATCTTCGCATTGAAGTTTGAGTCTAGCATGATGTTGCTTGATTTGATATCCCTGTGAAGCACACATTGTTCTCTTCCTTCATGCAGGTACAGCAATGCTGAAGCTAAGTCCAGAGCGATGTTATACCTAACCTGCCATGTTAAGAAGCTTTTTCCACAGTATAGATGAGAGTCTAAGCTACCATTTGGCATGTACTCATATATAAGGAGAAGATCTTTCTTCTTGTGGCACCAACCAATGAGTTGTACCAAATTCTTGTGCCTCAATTGGCTAATGATCGTCACTTCGGTTGCATATTCCTTTTTCCCTTGCTTGGACTCCTTTGATATCCTCTTTATAGCAACATAGGAGTTTTGCTCTTTCAAGAAACCTTTATAGACACTTCCAAATCCTCCATGCCCAAGCTTCTCCGACTCAGAAAAGTTATTTGTCGCAGTCACCAAGTCATCATGGATAAACTTCTTTGGTCCGCTACCCTTTTGGAATTCATCATCCATGTTTAGATCAGAATCTGACACTTCTTTACCTCCCATTTTCTTCCTCCTCCAGAACAACATGAGAACTAACCCTATGAACCCAACAATGATAGTGACACCAATGGCTATACCCACAAAAAGCACAACATGATCATCGTTGGAGGTTGGGGATGAGGTAGGTGATATGTGATTATTGTTGGAGGTTGGGGATGAGGCAGGTGATACGTGATTATTGTTGGAGGTTGGGGAAGAGGCAGGTGATGATGCCTGGCTTTCTAATAAACTTGAACTAAAAGACCATGATTGTAGGGTATGTACTTCAAACAAATCACCTGTTGCAGCTGAGAAGCCAACGATAACCCACTCTGGTAAGTACTCTCTCAAATCAACTTCATACGAAAGATGACGCCATCTAACTTGCTCATAATTAGAATCATACCTGGTGTAAGAGATGCTAAAGTTATGAGTACTTGAATTGTACTGAATACTGCATCTGTAAGTATCTCTATTTCCAATGCTATCTGACCATCGATTCAACACACTTGAATTCATTGAATTGACATTCAAACCCACATGTGGACGATCGACAGGGTCCCATGAGTTTTTGTACGTGTCAAACTCCACAGCCACAAATGGATGTTTTGAGTGCAAAACTTGGTCGCCATCAACAAGTCCAAGGCCTCCTCCTTTCTTAACTTTCTTCACGAGTGGAAGATTTGGGTCTGCAAAAAAGATTGTTAACCCATCTCCAAACAGATTGGTTTGCGAGTGTATGATGAATGAAAAGTTGGTGGAGAAATCAGTGAGATTTCTTGAGTTCTTATCCCAGAGATGCATTTGTTGGAAACTCGTGACGCGCCCTACACTGTAATTTGATTTCTGGTCCCATGCACTTACAGTCACGTAGATTTCTGAACGTAAGAGAGAAGCATCACCATCTAGCTTCACATCGCCTTGCTTAAACCGAGGGAAGTTAAACGATAGTTGATGTGCAGAAGGAATTATAAGGAGAAAGAATATAAGTTCCATTTTATAAACGAGAAGTTCTGGTGCGTGATCACCATCATGCCAAGAAGCCATGATTTGGGTACAGCTTTAAGCTTGAGCCTACTAGTTGTGTTTGTGTGTGTATATACATTCGTTAATTAGTTATTAGTCAACTCTCCTTTTTTTTTCCCTGTTTATTGTGAGTTTTGGATTTTGTCATTTTCTTGATTCTTTCTTGGAAAGCGACAGAATGAAGCGTCCACATTAGGGTCCCTAATCTCGATGATGCCATTCATAAAAGGCTTAGAATTTGGATGAGGATTTGATCAGTGTCTATGAGCTGGTTTGGACGCACCAACTAACCAATTTTTGTTTATAGTATTACCACAATTGTGATTTTATTAGTTATGCAACTTTGTGATTCTACAAATTATTTTAACGAACTCCTGGGGCATTATGTTTGTCTTTAGAAAATTTCAATACTTTGTTAGTCTGCTGGCACTTCCATGCACGTCTCATTTTCTCAAAAATTTGTTGTTTTCTTAATTTCTATAAATTTGTAATTGCCTAATTGGATTGCATCATCTCTTGCATGGACATCAATTTACTCTATTTATGAAAGAAGCCGCTGATATTCACCAACTATACGCATAATTTCCTTCAGTAAACTAAACACATAAATAATGTCCCAAAAAAAAAAAAACTGAACACATAAATAAGCCACTTAACTATATTTGTTTTTGTGTCTATCGGTGTCTGTGAGTGTATATAAAGATCTACACATCAAATGAATTATAATTAAATTTAAAAGTAAAAGTTAAAATTTCAATGTTTTAGAAAAACAAAAACTAAAGTAATTTCTTTTAGTGAATAAACTTAAAATAAATGAATAAGATTGACGGGAAAATGGAAGCTAACAACGCATCTCAAAAGATGTTTGAATTTGATATGCTATATGTGGGAAATTAATTCTTACTCTACACTATTGCTTTTATTTTACATGCAATCATTATATTTTGAAAAAAATATATAAATAAATAATTAATTTCCACGCTACATTTGCATGGATAAATTTTCCAACTTGGATAAATGAATCTTCATATTGCTTGTCCGCAATAAAAGATGGGCAGGGCATTTGGTTCTTTTACAAGAAAAAGTGTTACGTACGAAGACCAATTCCTCATGTTAATTGGCTAGTTGCACTCAACATTGGCATTGGGATTATGTATAAAGTAAGCTTCTCGGGGGCTTCGTACAATATATAGATACATCAACTGGCTCAAGCCATTAAGGCTTAGTCTTGTTGGTTTCTTGTTAATTGGGTGGATGGAGGTGCTGGATGTTGAAGTCAAATTCCTATATAGCTCGTTATGATTATTTTATTTATATGGCTATGGCTGCAAATTAAGTTTTGCTTTGCCTATAGCTCATTAAGTTATGACCAAGTTAAGATTTTGGCTTTGAAATACATCACAGCCATCATGAATGAGATTTTGGGAGATCATGCTTAGCTTCTTGTTGGTCAAGTTAGTAATTTTTAATTTTTTTACAAGCTTCTTTAATTAGTCATACATGAGAGAGTTATAGTAATTTGAATGTGTTATAGTGGAATTTCTTCATTGTTGTTGGTGGGAATGGTTCTCTTTGGAGTAGAAGAAGGGTGAAGAAGAAAGTTGTGCACTATGTTTTCAAGGAGAAACTTGACACCATTGTGTACTTTTTTTTAGGCGTAATTCACCCTCACCTATTTTGTTTTCAGGTGCCAATTGGATTGATGAAAACGTTCCTTCAAGATACAATGAAGGCCCTTGAGTATGACTCGTACTATTAAAGCTTAAGCCAATGCAGCAATTATTTTTACAAAATGATAATTTGATTTATATCTTTTGTACACTCAAAGACAAAGGCAATGATGGAGAAGAGTATTTATAGAAAGTGCCTTGAAGTGGTACCTTTTAAATAATAATACTCTACTTAAAAATTATATATAATCTATATTATTTCATGAACAACCCTATGTTATTTCTAATCCCTTTTTTTAGTCAAATTTTTAGTCATTTTTTAATGAAAAGAAACATCTTTTTAATATGTAAAGTTTTCTTGAGATACATCTTCTTTTACTAAGTGCCACCTTTTAGTTTTCTAATCCTTCAAAGGTACCTTTATAATTTAGAGAGATATGGCTTCAATGACTATATCTTTCTACACAAACCTTAATAAAAATTCTTTAATTTATCAGGACATAACTTTTCAAAAGAACTTAGACTTTTAAAAAGGGAATCTCTTCATTTAAAAGAATATTCCAACAGTTTGCACGTGGCTCGTTTTCCTTACACCGAGGTTTTTTTCTATGTTAAATCTTATGTATTATCTTCTATTTTCTCTTCTTTTTCTTAAATTAATTTTCATTTATTTGATCCATGTTGAATCCACTTGCTTTTCTGCAGTCCTAGACCATGGTAAGATGATCCCTCTCATATGATATATATATATATATATATATATTGGATAATGTATTAGGGATAAGAGTTATGAGAGTTATTTCTTGGTATACGTACGTTTACCTTTTCCAGTCGTTTTCAGGCTTATAATTATTTAAGTCCAGCTATATGATTGACAAGTAAATGCTAACTAGAGATTTGATTTTGTTATTTGTCCCATTATGGTAGTCAATTTTCTTGATTAACAAATTGCCGGCTAAGTTTTTATTTGAATGGCCATTTTCTAATTCTGCATGAATTTTTCCTAATGAAATCTGTGTTCATACGACGTAATTACTGGTAGTTTCTTGAACAAGGATTCATCTTTAGCGATGTTTGTCAAAGTGTATCAAATGATTCCAGCTGTCATTAATCAATTTTAAATGAAGCTCAAACTGAAGTGAATAACTTGAAATTTTTTTAGTATTCATAAATGAATATATCTTATTAAAGCCACATAATCATCAGTTTTTAATTTCAGTTGTTTGAATTTATTGAAAGAGCCATATAAATATTCTAGTGAGGTCCACTCTATATATAGCGAAGCAATTTGCTCACATGATATGAAGTATTCTAATGCAGGAGAAAATTCCTAGAAATGGCAAAGTTCAAGCCAAAGAAAAATCAATTTGCTTCCAACTATTTTTTTCCATTGCTGATTAGACATCTAGAACAGGGAAGGAAATAGCCAAGAAATTACTTTGAAGAAGCTAACATTTCTTTCGCATAATCAAACTAAAGAGATAGAGATGGATTCACCATGCATGCGTAGACAACTCAATTAGATGATGCATATATGAACATTGGATGGCTCTATGAAAATGTTCACATATATAAGGACGCACACACAACTGCATTATATTGTCAAGTTTGATTATAAGCAAATTAACTTGTTCAAGGCTTTAATTATAAGCAAGGCATACGAAAGAAGATGTGTTTAGACTTAATTACAGAGCCTTAGCCTTAACCTAAAAAATTATAAATAAATATCGTTAAACCCTAATAATTAAATGCATTTATATTCTAGAAGAATCTAAATAATAGTAATGGCTAGTTTCTTGAAAAGATGACAGAAATTGAAACAATAAAATAATTAAACGAATGATGCCTTTCAAAAATGGGTTAATATAAAATTTGAATCCTAAATTATAGGTCCAAGGGCAATTTGAACTTTAAATTTTTAAAAAATATATTTTGAATATCAAATAATTAAAGTTGGGGCAATTTTGCCCCCAACATTAATTTAAACAAATGTCCGTTAAAATAAGGCTTAATATGTTATTTTCACTAAATGAGGATAAGGGAGAGAGGGAGAGTGAAATGTGGTGAAAACAGCACATTAGGCCGCAATTTGTAAAAAACTAACGGACTTTTGTTAAAATTTAATAGTGAGTACTAAATTGCCCACAATTTTAATTGTTTAAGGTTCAAAATATACCTTTTAAAAGTTTATAATTCAAATCGCCCCTGCATCTATAGTTTAAAGTTCAAATTGCATATTAACTCTCTAAAAATTTGCATTAGTTCTATCTTATCTTAACATTTAATTTGAAAACAATTAGGAATGGAGCATGATTTTGCATTGCCTAGAAATGGAGGGAGAGAACAAATGGATAGAGAGTAGTGAAAGAATTGGATGTCACATCTTGAAAACAATCAATTGTGGTTTTCAAAACTGTAAGTTAGGCTACACCAGCTATGGCACAAACTATAGCTAATTAAGTTAGAAATTCCAGCCATTAATTATACAATTTTTTTTTGGCATAAACAAACATTACAAAAAAATTGACTTTTAACGGCGACAAAAAGTCATTGTGAGAGCTTTTGTCACTGATTCTACTTGCAACGACCATAAATTTCACTGTTGAAAATATTCAATCAATACAAAAAGAAAAATTTATTGCTGCAGAAAGATAGCCATCACTGATCACTGTAGAAACCACACATAAGTGGCAACTACATGGTCACCATTGAATATTGAGCATCAGCGGCAACCTTTGTTGTAATAACCCAAAAATTTTAAGTAAAAATAAATAAATAAATAAATATATATATATATAATATAAATGCATATATTATTGTGGTTGAATTGTAGTTATATTAATTTTGGAACAATTATGACAAGAGGAGGTTTTGGTATAGTGGGAGTATGCATATATCTCTTATATTTGGTCTTGAATTCGAACCTGGTTGAAGCCAAAAAGGAGTAAACCATTTTTTTACTTTTGTACCGTGAAATTACGAAACTACCCTTACCTCTACAGTTTTTTTTCCCTTTTTTTTCCTCTCTATTTCTGGCACGATTCAGCATTTGGGGCTCTGTAGAAAATTTTAGATTCTCTCATCTCTCACTCTCTGCCTTCTCCGTCTCCTCCTACTTCCGTCCGCAGCATCGCTGGCGTGTGAGTGTGCGAGAGTTCCGTCCGACACTCCTCTGCCATGTTTGTGCTCTTTCCTCCCTTCTCTATTTCAAATCAGTAAGGTCATTTTTTTTCTTTCCTCTATCGAGCGATGATCTGAGCATTTAAGTTTCTTTCCCTTCTTGTTCACAGCCTTTGCCGATATGGGTATTTCTTATTCATGTAGTCGCTGTCGTTGCTTTGTCTGCCATGG